GCCTTCCACACAATATCGAGAAGTAGAACGATAGTTTATGGTTTCTACTATTTGGTAGTATTTGATCTTGTAGATTCTCTATGTACTATTGTTGCCCCGATTTTAAGAAGTGCATTATTTATTGATCTACTACTCTCAAATATCTGCTTTCTTTAAATGTTTTCTCCCCTCAATAATGTCCTTGTGGTTTGTGCAGCATGAGAGTTTGGGACCTACTGGGGGGTTTAGTTACTATGTTTTTCAGAAACTTCATGAAAGCAAACAATTTTCTGAGTTGTTAAGGCTAGGGGAAGAATTTCCAGAAGAGCTGTCCATTTTCCTGAAGGAGCATCCAGATCTTCTTTGGCTTCATGATTTGTTCCTTCATCATTTTTCCTCTGCTTCAGAAACACTTCATACGCTGGCTCTCACACAAAATATGCAGTCTACTGAAGAGGAAGAACAGATGGATATGAAGTTGAAACTGACAGACAGAAAGAATCTTTTATATCTATCTAAGATTGCAGCCTTTGCAGGTATGGCTGATGTGTCATTTTTCATGCGTTATGCAGATTATTTCCTTTCCCTTTGTACTCTTTTATTTCTCTAGATATTTTCATTCTGTGATAGAGACTGTTGTGGGATTTTGGGTTGTTTTTATTCTCTATGAATTGAAGATCATTTCCCTCTTGCACTCTTTAAGATATTTGGTTATCTGGTAGCTGTGAGGTAGCGCTATCCATTCTGTTAGTTTCCTAAGTAAAGAGTTGTTTAAATTTAGTTAGCATGGAATAGTTAGATAGGTTAGGATATGATGATATGTATAATGCATACATATAAATAATGGGAGGGAAAGCATCAGGAGATTGTGTGAAAGATCCTAGTTGATCTTTAGTTTTTTATTTTTTATTTTTATAAATAAAAATAAAATTGAGGTAGTTTGTTTCTCTTTCTTGAAATAAAATACCCGGTTCGTATCAATTGAATGTGAGGTTTTAGGCTATATGATAACATCAATTATTGCATTGACATAATAGCAGCAGCTTTGCTGTTTCAATTTTGCTTATGGTTGAGACTGTTGGATCACAAACCTCAAAGGTTGGGAATCTTTAATTTGATTCTCCCATAAATGTGTTCTGTGCTTAAATCACAGTCTATGCCGCCTAATACTCATAGATCAAGCAAAAATGGTCACATTCCTTAAGCGTTGACTTAACTTATGCTTTATCAGTATTCCGTTAGCCACTGCTTTAAATCATGTTAACCATTGGATCTAGTTTTTAAATCACACCATAAAAAGATCGGTGTTTTATTTTCAGACCTTCAGTTTTCTAATGTGTATGCAACAATTCCATAATAGATGCTAAATGAAGTGCATTTAAGATAAATACTATCACCTCTCTTGTTCAACAGCTGGTAAAGATGCTGGTACTCAGGTGAAGGTGGATCGCGTTGAGGCTGATTTGAAGATTCTAAAATTGCAGGTACATTTGAGTATAATTGATCATTTTCAATTTGTTGATTTTTTTCTTGGTCAGCTTCATCATTATTCATTGTAAATAGTAGACATTAATGAAACTTGGACTTCATAAACCCTAAGTTTGAGAACCTATTTGCTATGTTGAGTGAATAAACATGAAACTTGATTCTAAATGCTTTAGGTTTTCAATTAAACTCTTGTTTACAAAGTCCTTTAGGTGTTCGGTTACCCCACCCAATTAGTTGTTACTCAATAAGGTAATTAGTTGTAAGGGTTTCTGTGATGTATATGAAGAAGAGGAAATGAGGAATTGATTGGAGGAAAGCTATCCTCCAGACGTTTGAGTAGGTGCTGGGGAATTAAGACATGGCTCTACAAATCCACGAAGTTATACAATCTACACTATAATTAAGGAGAATTCTTCCCTAAATTTTCTAAGCAAAGTGCCGGCTACACTCTTTGGGTAAAATTCATTTAGACTGCTACTTTATGTGGGACTCATTCAAACAATGGTGTTAGAGTGAGCGTTGCTAGCACTCCTCATTTTCTACTAGTATGTTAGATTCCTATCAATTGGTATCAATCCTTAATATACAGTTTTGCAAAGAAATTGTCTGCCTAGTGGCAGTTGAAGTTGTGTGACTGTTTATGGGCTGCTTGTCTTTTGAAATCAGTATTTGCTTTAGCTTATGAGAACTTGCTGAACCATGCCTGATAGATAAGCATTGTCACATCCTTTTAAGAATCCTTCTCATATATTTTTTCACTAATATACTTAGCCTGCAGGAGGAAGTAATGAAATGTCTTGCTTCGCTTGAAGATAAGCAACTTGTGGATGATCGGCTGCTTCATCCAGAAGACTTAATTAAATTGTGCTTGGAAGGTGAAGAGCCAGAGCTCTTGTTGTGGACCTTTGACGCGTTTGCCTGGACCAGTTCCTCGTTTCGCAAGACTCACCGAAAGCTTTTGGAGGATTGCTGGAAGAAGGCTGCCAGTCAGGATGATTGGAGTAAATTCCATGATGCATACACAGTTGAAGGATGGAGTGATGAAGAAACTCTACAGAACTTGAAGAATACTGTACTTTTCCAGGCTTCAAGCAGGTGTTATGCACCCCAAAGTGAAACCTTTGAAGAAGGGTTTGACCAAGTATTGCCCTTGAGACAAGATAACATGGAGACTTCAACTTTGGGGGATATGAGCTCTTCAGTTGAAACAATATTGATGCAGCACAAAGATTTTCCAGTTGCCGGCAAGCTGATGCTAATGGCAGTCATGTTGGGTAGTGAGCATAGTGGTGATGACAGGATAGAAGAAGGTCCTTCCCCTATGGAATAGTGTGGCCAAATAATACAAGCGGATGCAGATTTTGTGCTATCATGACATGTAGAAAGCGGATACAGATTTCATGTTCATTCCTCTCTGTGTATTGCATTCACACTTTAACCATTGGATAGTAATTATGTTAGTATAGTAAATTTACCTACCCCAGTATCAAAACTCAAAAGTAAAGAAAATGGTTAAATATCAAAGTCAATGTTTCTTGTACTTGTACGCCATTTTAAGTTTTTAACACTATTCCATACACTCTATAGTATTGAAATGACTAGAGTAAACCGAAACATTGATATTGGAATTACTGAAATTGGCTAAACTAGCCGTCTTTGAATAACATCAAATATTTGCAGTGTGATGCAGAAGTAAAGCATTACCTAAACTCTAAACTGGTATATACATACTTGTGACATTCCACTAACAATCAATGATATTTCATACTTACTAGTCCTAGACGGAATAAAAGAAGCATCATAGCTGGAAGTCCCCAAAAAAGATAGAACAGAGGTTGAGGTTGTGGGGATGACTTAAAAGTTTGAAATTGTTGGGATAAATATTCATGTGTATCGTCACTTTTTAGGGTACGAATAGACAAACCAAATTAGGTTCTTATTTCTCGATAAAATTGTTTAAAAATATAAAACAATTCAGATATGTTCTTCATTAAAAATAACCATGTGCAACGTGAAAAATCATCAATAAAGATTACAAAATACCTAGACTAAAAAGTAGATGCAGTACGCGAGGGACCCTAAACATCGGAGTGAAATAAAGTAAACGAGGACGCAACCTGTTTATTGACTCGATCTGAAAAATGACTACGATTATGTTTTCCTAACTGACAAGACTCACAATGTAAAGTGAATAATTTGGATAAACTGGACACCAACTTTTGTAGCTTGGGAAGACCTGGATGACCTAACTGCACATGTATAGTGAATGGAGAATCTGTTGTGTAGCATATGGTAAATGACAGAGAAGTAGTAGAGGTCTTGAAACTTACATCCGACGCCAATCGTCTGTTTCGAAGTCCGATCCTGCAAGGTAACATTACTGTTACTAAAGGTGATAGAACAATTAAGGGATCGATTTCACTCTGTTTTTTTTGTTGTCCAAGCCATGGAAGATTATGATTCTTGTTTAAGTGATTAGTTTACCAAAGTTCTGCTTATCCCATGTGAAAAGCTAACCAACTCATCCAACTACAACATATGGGCTGGTGGTGTCAAGATGTGGTTTCACGGTTAGGGATATGAAGATCACTTAACCACAAAAGTGGATGTTGTTCCCGCCGCCAAACTTGCTAAATGGAAGAAAACCGATGCATTTCTGTGCACTATGCTATGGTTTTCCATAACATCTAATCTCCAAGCACAATACCAAGCCTTCTCCATTTGCTATGAGGTTTGGAAAAAGTTCAAGAAAGTCTTTTCCAACAATGCTCATTGTCTATATAATGTCATCCGCCAAAGGTGGAGAATATGGATATGCAAACCTATTTGATTAAGCTTGATGCCTTGAAAGCAAATTATGCTACCCTTATGCCTTACGCAAAAGATCCAACAACTCAGGCTGAACAACAAAGTAAATTTTTCATGATCATGACACTTATCGGACTATCATCAGAGCTCGAGTAAGCTCGTAACCAGATTTTATAAGGTACTACTGTTCCTAACTATGATGCAGTTAGTGAACAACTGTTGCGCTTGGCTACACCACATGCTTTTGACCCGGTTTCCCTTTCATATATTGCTGCTCCGACACCTGATGACACTGTTGCCCTTACATCTCTTGGCAATAATCAGAATCGGTTTCGAGGGTAATCCAACTCCAAACCTCGTCTCAAGTGTGACCATTGTTGGAAGTTGCATGGCAGACCTCCATGCTAGGTAAATGCAGCTCAAATCGATCACCCAAACATTCTGCGGACTTCACTTCTTTTCAGAACTCTACGCCAAGCTACGAGAATTTTCACAGGTGGTGTTAGACTAATCAGAGTTCTAATACCATATTAAAATAAGCGAGACTAAGATACATTAGACTAAATTATGTGTTTTGAAAAGCACTACGGAGATATTATATATAAAGAGATTACAACTAATTACATGATACAGTAGATATAGGACTATTCTATATACAAATATTATTAACAATATATATTTACAAATATCAACAACATATATACATGGTGACCTTCCACTAACAATCAATGAAATTTCATACCTACTAGTCCTAGAGGGAATAAAAGAAGCATCATAGCGGGAAGTCCCAAATAAAGATAGAACAAAGGTTGTGGGGTAGATTCTGATGAGTCCAAGGGTGAAGTAAAGTTGGTGTTAAAAAAAACTGAAATAATCTTCTTCAAGGTCCATTCAGGTACCCATGAAACAGAACTAAGTAGAACACATATAGCCCATCCAGTAGCATTCAGATGAATGCAATCTGCTAGGCTTTTTGCATACTCAATTATCACAATATGCAAAACAAAACAACAACCTAATGCCATTAAGAAACAATACTTCTGTACATCAACCTTGAAAACTTGTATTTTCAATAAATCCATGATATTGAGCAGATGGAAGATCTGGCATAAAAAGAATGTATTGAAGATCATGACTTTCCTTATTTGCTTTTCACTGTCAGTTACATGTCCCCCGAATTCAAGTATCATGCAAGCAGAAGCCTGATAGAAAATCTGAAAAATTATATTTTTCCACATTTTCTTTGTTATTATTGACTGATTCCTATTAGATGGTTGTTTGGCAAGCTCTTCCTCGCTACTTAATTCCATCACCATCATTAGGCCACCCAGAGGACACATTAGTGTATTCACCCAAATCAATTGGGCTGCTGTTAGGGAAGAATTTCCTGTGAGAATTGTTGTAATCAAGGTTATGAGTAACCCTGATATACCAATTGTCAGCTGAAGTTGAATGAAATTTTGAATATTGTGATATTTACTTCTTCCCACCTTCACGATTGTTTCCAATGCACTGAAACATGTGATACATATATCACAACTCTCTTTTGTGTCGATTATTCTGCTTAATGAGTTATGAATTATCCCTACATCAACTAGCTTTAGAACGTCTGAAATATGATTAGTCATCAATCTTTGTTCAATAAATGCAACCACATCACCTCTCTCTTGCAAACACTTTACCATGAGAATCTTGTCTTTAGGACTGAAGCTTCCCATTGCAATGGCTTTATCCACTTTAACCAATTTGGTTTTGTCATCCAAATCACGAATTTGCTCTCCTTCAAGGTGACCACCGTCTATCGACACTTCCATTCCCAGTTTACAAGCCATGTCACTCAGTGTCATGATGTCATCATCCTCTGAGACCAATTTGATATGTATTCCATTATTTTGAAGGGTTTTCAAAGCCATTTTTGTCGATTCTTGACATTTGTATTTGAGACCTATTAGTGCTAATAAGGTCATCTCGTCTTGCTTGAGTTCTTGCACCTGTGTTTGTCTATAAGCAAATGCAAATGGTTTAAGGTCACTACTCTCCATTTCTTGAATCACTTGCCCGAATTTGATTTTCTGATTTTCAATGGAATGACATCTTCCTTCACTATCATAGTATTGTGAACACATTTCCAGCATTATGGATGCATCCCCACTCCAGTGCAAGTGCATATCTTGTTCATTGGCACTTACTTTTCTCACCAAAACTCCACTGCCCTCTTGGTTAGAATCCAATTTTCCATGCTTAAGAATATGAAAATTTTCTCTAAAAGATATAATGTCCATTTCCAATTTTCTTGTTGCCCAAGAAACAAGGGAGTTAGACACATGAGGAGATAGTTCTGGTGCAAGAACTGATAAACAAACTCCTTGTTTAAGCTTCTCTAGCACAACTTGACATGTTCCCGATCCCTGAATATTGTTCACGTCTGTCTCTCCTTCCCCTATCCATATTTTACCAACCTCCATCGGCTTAAATATTAGTCCACCGCCAGATACATCGATGCATATGACATTTACCAACCCCATTGTTGTACAAGCTGACAAATCATTAAGAACAACCTCTTGATTAATCAGTACTTCATCATTTTGGTAATGGAGAGATAAGGGAATCATCAATGGTACTCCATGTTGCACACATAGTACTATAACACTAAAAAGACGTGCTAAAATTTCAATCCTTCCCTGTGGCCTTGAAAAAATATCTTCAAGGAGTTTTGTTAACATGCTAACTGAAACATTACTCCCTTTAATATCTGGAAGTCCGCCATCATCAATGTCTTTTTTACAAATTAGACGAATGAACAACACAAGTGCAACAAGTGTAAAGATAAAAAGAGAAACTTTGTCAAGGTATGAAATTGGCTTCTCAATTCGATTTTCCAAAAGGCATCTCTTGATATCAGCCGAGTTTGATTTGTTTCGAATTGATGTCACAAGCATCCATCCATGACCTTCAATCACCTTTGAACCGGCCACAAGAAACGGGTTCGCTTCGCAATCAATTCTTTCATTTTTCATTCCCTCAGCCAACATAAGATTGTCACCACTCAAAAGCAAACCATCAGCAGGAACCTCATAATGAGGACTCAAACACACCATGTCACCCACCACAATATCATACATGGAAAGAGTAAGATCAACTTCATGTCTTTTGACATTGAATTTCATTGCTTCACCTTTTTTCTTTGCCAACTTGATTGTTTTTCTTTCGCGCCAAAAGCTAGTTATTGAAGAGAATGCAAGCAGAAGGAAAACAGCAAAAACCATAGCAACACCATCATGCCAACCATATCTAGGCCCCTCCTGTTTAAACTCTATGGCAAAGGATAATAAGGCTGAAATCGACAGCATTGAAATTGTGTAAAGATTTTGCTTGCAGCTTTTCCAAAGAAACCCAGAGAAGGTTGCTCCAAGGTTCTCAACGATCTCCTATTCCATAAATTCATAATTCCATTAACAAAACAATTTTCAAACACTTGGTAAATATATCCCTACATTTTCACTATACAAAATGATCTAAGCATCATATGAAGAGGATTAATATACCTCTGATGAGTGTTGAGATTGACCATGAAGAACATGGCAAACTCTACCAACTCCACCAAGTTCAACAAGAGATTTCAGGTCCTTCTCCTTCACAATTCTATCAATATCAGTCCTAACACGTTCTTCTACCATGTCGTCTTCTTCTCGCTCCTTTTGGACACGAGAGATTACATCAATTGAAACAAAAGATTTGGCTGATGATGTTCTAGCAGGAGGACTACGATGCAATGAACCGGACAGTAATGATGATGTAGATTCTTCATAGTTGCTACTAAAAGTTGTAGGCTTCTTCAAGGAGATCATGAATCCCACGTATAAACTTTTACGCCATATCTTGTTGTATTTGCTACCACTAATGAGTAAGCTAGCACCTAGTTCTATATTGCCACCATCGGAAGAAATGTTTGTTTGGGACATGTTTGTTAATCAAGAACTATGAGGAATATCTAACTGAACAACTTTTTTGGTATGACCGAATTGAAACAAATTTGAAATGGCGTTTTTGCAGTTATCAGGAAAAATATAAAGCATCTAAAAGCTTTAACATGTTTCTTAACCATATGTATCTAGCTATGTTTACCCAAAGCTTGAGGTTCATCTGTATTTATAGAAAAGTCTTGGTCTCTAAGCCCAGTTGTAGACGCGGTATAGTGTGGAAAAAACGTACACGGTTGTGGAAAAAATGTACACGGCTATGGAAGAAATAATGCATAGGTTAATTGGATAAGAAAAATAAAGCATAGGTTAATTAAAAGTCTTAACTGATACTGGTTAGCTTCATTTGTTTTAGCCACTATAGGATAAATTCTTTTTAGCAATTTACAAAAACCAATTTTCTGCTTAGAGTTGCTTAGGTTTATTACAGCTTTAGTTAGAAAAAGGTTAAGAGGAAGGTGCATGATCATTCATGCTATGGGTCTGGTATGTCATCATTTTGATGGTTTGATTAGCGTCACTCATGAGATATGGGAGGTCGGGAGTCACATTGTGAGTATTGTTAATGTTGGAGTTAATACTAAACCTCCATTGTTGCACAAGAGGAAGATGAAAAAATTTTAGAGAGAAAATTCTGTAACTAACTCTTCAATCTCAAAATCTCAAATTTAAAAATCTGTCATAAATGTAATTAACTTTGTGTTTATATATATTTACCCAAATTCAAAGTAAATGAAATGCAAATTCACATGACATGAAACTGAAACTCAAACGAAACTTGAATTTGAATTACATTTCAATACCATCCCTTAATTCATATTCAAGATTAAAAATCATTAACACATATTTCATCTCTCAAATTGATGAAGTGTTCAGTTTTGATTGCCTTGGTCATCACATCAAGTTGCTTTTGAGTGCTGCAGTACAATCTCAAATACTCCATTCTACACTTAATTGCGCAGAAAATGATATTTAGTATCAATTTACTTGCTTCTTCTATGCAATACTAGATTCTTGTTAAGACTTATGATTGACCTGTTGTCTATCATCAACCTGATTGGTTTCCTCACCTTGAACTTCAATTTCTGCAGCAAATTCATCAGGCAAACAGCTTGATACGCTAATAGCACACCAACTATGTATTCTGCTTTACAAAGTTGACAGTGCAACCACTGGTTGCTTCTTGGAGCACCATGAAATAAGAGCTCCTAGATACATAAACACGTATTCTGTAATGCTTTTTCTGTCTACTCTATCTTTACACCAAACGAAGCCTGAATAACATATCAAATCAACATCATCAGACATTCCAGATGGAAACAAAATTTCATGCCTTAGAGTCCCTTTTACATACCTTAGTATCCTGACTGTAGTTTGATAATGTGACCACTTTGGTTTACTCTTAAACCTACTTACCATTCCAACTGCATAACATATATCCGACATGGTGTTACACAAATATCTTAGAGATCTAACTAACTGTTTGAAGGTTGTAGCATCTACGTCATAACCACCAGCATCAAAATATCGCTTATGGTTTGTCTTAATACATATGACTGATAACTTACAATCCATCAACTTAAATCTCTTCAGCAGTTCAAGCTCATATTTCAATTGGTGCACAACGATTCCCTTCTCAAAGTGTAAAATCTCCATCCCTAGAAAATATACCATATTTATAAGGACAGTAATATCAAATGCATTCATCAGTAGTTTTTTGAACTTGTTTATCTTAGAAGTACAACAACATGTTAGAATTATGTCATCTACATAAAGACACATCATAATTACATTGCCTTTAGAGGTATGCTGCACATACACACCATACTCAATTTTACATTTTTTTGAATCCCATATGCTTGAAAAATGAATCAATTTTTAGATTTCAAGCTCTTGGAGCTTGTTTCACCCCATACAAGGCTTTATGCAGCTTGTACACCATCCCTTCTTTGTTCTCTTTCACAAATCCAAGAGGTTGTAATACATAAAGTTTTTCTTACAATAGGCCATTTATAAAAACTGACTTTACATTTAAATGTATCATAGGTTAATTCCTACTTGCAGCTATAACAATAAAAAATCTTTGGGTTTCATGTCTAGCGAAAGGTGCAAACATTTCAAAGTGGTATAAACCATACTTTTGTAGGAATCCTCTAGCTACTAACCTTGCTATATGTTTGGAAATTGAACCATCAGACTTCAATTTTATCTTGAAAATCCATCTCACACAGATGACTTTCTTGTTCTGAGGCAGAACAATCAATTCCCATGTCTTATTTCGTTCGATGCTTTTGAGGCAGAACACTGACAAGTTCAGAGTCCACCATTATTACACTCTGTATGACTTTCCTTTTGGAGTCAATCTCAGTATCATGCAGCTACTCAAAGTCTACAAGTCTCCTTGGTACCCGTCTAATTCTTTATAGCCTTTAGAACTGCGCAAGTTCACCTTCAGAGGCATGACCACCTTCAGAAGCTCCACCTTTAGAGGCAGAATCACCTTCAGAGGTTGGAACACCTTTAGAGTTAGGTCCACCATCAAAGTCAGAGTCACCTTCAGAGCTAGACTCACATTCAGAGTCAGAGTCATCTTCAGAGCTAAACTCACATTTAAAGTCAGACTCACATTCAAAGGCAAAATCCCCTTCGAAGGCAGAATCTCCTTGAGAGGGAGAATCAGACTCTAGTGTTGGCACTACACTAGAGTTGGATTGAGACTTGCTCTAATCCCATGTTTCTGATTCTTTCACTATGACATCTTTGTGTGGTTGCAAGCATGGTTGTCAAAATCTAGATTTAAATCGTGAGATCTTAAGATCTTATGAGTTTTCACCATGCTCTGTGGCGAAGCGCAGCAAAGATCGCTGGAGAAGGCGGCGCGGTAGGAGCGCAGTGCAAGATCGTAAAAACGTGAAAGCGAAGATCTATTTCCCAGTGGAAAATTTGTCCAACCCGTTTCGACCCGACCCGGTCCAATGCCCTTTGAAGAAGGTGACCCGTTCAGCTTTTTCTACCAGCCGTATCACATTAAATTATACGTTTTTCATCATTAAAAGTCAGAATCTGTTGCTACCTACAAGGCTGATTTTTTGGGGGAAATTAAAAATCAATCTGAAAAATATCAATTTATTAAATGATATCAGTTCTTCAATTCCATCTATAAATCAATCATACGATTTCTATTCAATCATCAACTTCTTTTCTTCTTTAGTTATACGATCTCTTCTATTCTACCACACAATTTGGTGGAATCTTACGATCCGATTTACGATTTTATGATTCACGCTTTTTTCAACACCCAACGATCTTTAGTGAGATCCCGATTTTGACAACCATGGTTGCAAGTCCTTACTTCATTTATGGAGAGCATCTATATCTGGTTATTTTATTGCCTGTGTTATCACTTTCATCTTTCATTTAATTTCGATTTGTTGAGTCTCCCTCGTGATTGCACTTCACGAAATCAAGTTTGAAAAAAAAATTCATTTTTAGCATGCATAAAATATTGTTTAGATTTGATCTTGATCATGATATTTTTCGATAAACTGCACAAATAACTGGACTGCAAACTTTTTTATGTTTTTGACTTGAGTTTGATTCAAAGTAAAATCTCAAAATTATCTTTAAAATAATGAAAATTTGAGATTTTACATCTTTGATTTGAATCATGAAGATTACACACATTTTATGATTCTGATAAAATTGGATAGAGGCAAAACTGTGTCATTTGATTCAAATAATTTTTTACACTCGATTCAAACCATTTTTCTGATGTCCACTTTTGTTTGATTTGATTCGAATCAAATTTCAAACATGATTCAAATCACTTACTTTTTCAATATTTCTCTGCCAAGGATGTGACATTTGATTCGAATCAATTTTTGTACATGATTCGAATCACGTAGCTCATGACTCAAATCACTTTTCCCTTAATCGAATCAATTGATAGATTTTTTAAATTTTTGTTTTCCTTTTATTCCACTTCATTTGCTCATTTGTTTCAAATCATATATTACTCTTGATTCGAATCTAACTGACTTTTCCAACCATTTTCTGTGCTTAATCTCAAGCATATATAGAATATTTTTGTCATCATTTCTCACACAACATCTATCATTATGATCATAATTTTTCAGTGTGATTTTAGTTGAAAATCAATTTCATTTGTTTGGGTGTTCAAAGTCTTGCAAAGAAATTATTGCATCTTCAACTTCTTTTGGTTTAGATCTTGATAAGAGAGATTTGAAATTGATTGAAGGAGGCGTATTCTTGAAACTAATTGTTCTTGGAGATCTTGTTGAGTTTTTTCAGGTTGTTAGCAAGATTGAGGTGGTTGTCAATGGTGGTGACAAATTCCATTGGAAAGAAGTAGGTTTTTCTCTCTAGAATTTCCTTTGTAGTGACTGTGTAGAAGGCTACGGATAAGGCATAGTTCTTCTTAGATCTTCGAACAATTTCGCTGCTCAAGGAATCAGTAGGATCAAGGGTTTTATAGCTACACTTGAAGGCTTAGAACAAAATTGGTTCTATTGGAATATTCAAGAAATATAATTTGAGTAAATATATGTAGAAGAGTTTCAAAAGTGTATTGTATACAAGTCAAGTTCCAAATATGGACTGGTGGTTGTATGAGCTCTTGGTAATATTTGTAAAACAACAAGGAGCTATGCAGATTCTAATGGGAAACCATTGAAGAGTGCATGTAGACAAAGTGAGGACGAACACTGAAGCACTATAAATCTCGGCGTCATCTCTCTCTCTCTCTCTCTCTCTCTCTCTCTCTCTCTCTCTCTCTCTCTCTCTCTCTCTCTCTCTCTCTCTCTCTCTCTCTCTCTCTCAGTCTTGCATTTAATTTCATAGTATTTGCATGCTTAGGTTCTTCAATTCCATCGTATTATATAATTTGTTCATTGATAGAGATGTATTACGTAAATATTTTTTTTTGGAATTGGATAACTAGTTAAGCTAGACCAATGATTAAT